CCATTAAAATAAATCCATATACAACTCAGTGTGTTAGGGATAGAATATTACAGACAGCAAAAGTCATTATATTCTGTTTGTATTTTTCAAGGTCCCAGCACCAGAACATGCAGAAAAAGGTGGCATAAGCAATGTGACAGAAGCTAAAATAGTGCTTTTCCTCACATCCTTATTTATTAAGGTATATGTTACTTTATTACATGGTTTGGAGGGAGAGTTCCATTAGTGTAGATACAATATCTTGCAGCATTGCTTAAAAAAAAAAAAAGCATCTTTCTGACCATACTGAATTTCCCAAACCAACTGCAGTGACAAGATTTTTTTCTCCTGTTTCTTCTTCATTCAGGCTGGCTGTAAGCCCTCAGACATTGGCATCATATCACCCTACAGACATCAGTTAAAAACAATCACTGATTTGATGGCAAAATGGAAGGAGAGCAGAGTGGAAGTTAACACGGTTGACAAATACCAAGGAAGAGACAAAAGTATCATAATTGTGTCTTTTGTTAGGAACAGTATTGATGAAAATGTAAGTTGGTCACAGGTTACAGTTTTAGTAATTTAGATGCACTTTGCAAACGATTGATTTGTGTCTATTAAGTAGAAAAATAAAAGCAAATATAATTTATTTCCCAGCTTGGCACCCTCCTGAAGGACTGGCGCCGCCTGAACGTTGCTATCACAAGAGCCAAGCACAAGCTGGTCATGGTGGGCTGTGTTCCATCCCTGTGCTGCTATCCTCCCTTGGAGAAGCTCCTCTGCTATTTGCAGTCCCAGGCAATGATATCCTTTTGCTGCATTCTAGTTTGGGAAAGGGGAAAGGTAAGACTGACTTGCTGAGATTTGAGATAAGAATGGGGAAGATCTTGGATTTTTTTTAGGTTATACTTTGAACAGTGATTTTGTGCAACATAGCACAAAATGTGCTGATGAAATTTGCCAAAGTGTACTTGAGATCAAGCTAGTGGATGGGTTTAGAACCTTCTCTGTCTTCAAAAGTAGAAAAAATCAGTGCTGACTTGCAAGTCAACTTTGACATAATTTTTTGATTTTGAGGCCTGAATTTTTAATTTTTAATGCTTTTGCATTTTTTCCTCTGATCATTTCTAATTTCTTGGCATCTTAACATCAGTGTGATTGCTTTCTTCCACTTAACACATCTGCTTCATGAATAATCTTGGTGGAAAGAAAAACAGTGTCACTTGCAGATGACTTGGTAATTTTTTCTTTCCCTCTGGCGTTGTACTGAATAAACTTTAGCTATTGCTGTTTCCATCTCGGATTTAAGCAGGAAAGAACCTTTTTAGCTGCTTTCTTTGCAAACACCAGTGCATATTCAAACAGGTTTTGTGAAAGCAAAATGTTGTCAAAATGCTTCCTTAACTTGCTACATCTTGAATCTTCCAGTTGGGGCTCATGAAAGTATCCACAAGTGTAGCATCTTATGAGTGTGAAGATGGAAAGTTTTACAGGCCTTTGTGTCTCTTCTTCTGCTGTTGTTTAAATGCAATAACTGGTAATTGGGGTGTCAGTGCTGATGTGCACTTTTGGGGCTGGAGGCAGCCAAAACAGGAAGCATTCAGTTATCTGGAAGTTTCCTTTCAGTAGAATAACAGACATTTCTTGAAAAAGCTGATGGTTACAGTACTAAAGCAGCCAGTTTACTTGACAAACCAGAAATATGAAGCACTCTGTTCCCTCCACTACTGGATGTTGTTATATTCTCTTTTACCTTGATGAACAGTTACCTGCAGAACTGAGTAGGGAAACACTTGAAGAGGAAGGGAGTGTAAACCAGTGTTGTATCGAGTCACAGTTTTCTGGGCTCAGTTTGGTTTAAAAAACTTGAAAAAATAGTTTACATACAATAATTCCATTTGTTAGAATTCCTAATTAAGGTGCTGTGTTGTGCTGCTTGGAAAAAAAAAATAGGAAAAACTTCTTCAAAGCCTCACATTGTCCTTTGAAGTTTACTCCTGCTTTTTAAAGTGCTGAAGTCTTTTATATTTATATCCATAATGTAATTAATCTCTGATGTGAAGATCCCTTGATGACATTTCTAATCTCTTGATTTTGCATACATCAGGGAGAAATGTGATGCTAATTCACTTAATTCCCTGTTATTAACTAATGTGTTCAGCAGATCAATCTGAAGTGAAATGCTTCACAGTAGAACTCTTATTTTCAGTTTATCTGATCTTTAGTCTTCAAAACAAACATTTCCCAGGAAACAAAGCCAGACATGCAGCTTGCTGACTAAGAAGTTTACATGCTCAGGTTCTATTTTTTTAAGGATGATGGCAAATAAACAACAGAAAACACCTTTTACTTGAGAGATCTGTGTTAGTTTCTTTATGCTACCTCATATTCCAGACTGAGAAGTTTCTTTCCAAGGTTGCTGGTAGAAACCTCCATTTTTTTGATTCTTCAGAATCATTAGCATTTGTTTTATCTCAGATCAATGTCAAGTAGCTGTGTGCATACAGTTGCAGACAAACTTGTTAAATGTGGGCATTTTCACTCTTCTTAACTGCTCCCTGATTTTTATAATGTTTCAAATAATAAAAGTTTGCTGTTGGTTTCATTAAAATTGCTTACACTTTGTTAATACTTCACTTTATACAAGGCAAATATTTAGAGCAGTACAATAATAATTTGAAAAGTTGACAGGATATCCTCGTTTTTCAGGTGAAAATACATGTTTCAACTGTGCCAGTGCTCTGGGCCTTTCAAAAGATGAAAAAAAATAGGGTAAAATACGCTCTTTATTATAGTAGTGACATCAGAATACTTTTTTAGAAGAGATTTTCTTCCTGTGTTTAGTATGTATGGGTAGAAAGCTCTTAAGATTTTGCTAATCTGTTTTCTTGCTTATCCAGGAAATGGTTTGCATGCTATTTAAAAACTTAATCATTAAATTAAGAGTATTGCCATCCCATCATGAAGTTGCATGAGAAACAAGCACAAGAACATTTCCTTATCCACTTAAAAAATGCATCCTTCCTTCTTGTCATGTGGTCAAAAATTGACTGAGCAGCAGTTTCATCTACAGGTGAAACCATTTGCTCTGGTAGACTGAAAATTGAGATGCAATTCTCTAAACCACTCTGTGTTTCAATGAATATACATAGCAAGTCAGTATCTTCTAGCAGTAGAGCATCACTTTTTCTGTGTGCTGCTTTAAAACAGGTTCCTCGTGCAGAAGCAGCTGTTGCCTACTGTGTTATGTATTTCTGGGATTCCCAAAAATCAAAAAAAAAAAAAAAAAAAAAAAAAAAAAAAGGAAGTTGTTTTATGCCAGACTAGCAGGATCAATGTGACTATTTTAGGATTGTTTAATGTTTACATGTATATGTTCCTTTCTCTTTGTAAGAGGTGGGAATGGTGGATAGAAGAAGTGTCCCTGTCACCATGTGCTGTGTCCTGTCCATCCCTGTGTTGCCTTTGTCCTTTGGTCTTTCCTTGCAGGCCCAGGCACTGCCACCCTTTGTGCTGTTTTGTGCAGCCTCTGAAGCTGGGCAAGGTAAAGAACACCTTTTTATTTTACAGGTTGCTGGTTAACCTTGCCCAAAAAGGTGAGAGGAAAGAATAACTATTAAGCAAAGCATATTGTAGTGCTTAGGGTGCAGTGAGCATCAACTGAGATCCCATCTGGATGTGGCAAACATGTTTGGAGATAAACACCTCACTGTGTTTTGGTTCTTTTCTAGCCAGGTTCACATTCTAGGGCTTTCAAAAATTAAATCCCAAAAAATTTATTTTTTTTTTAATACTGGTTTTGATTCCCAGCGTGTTTCCTTGGAAGGTACTAAACTCACAGACTGTTCTAGAATAACATTATTTATTCTGATACACGTTATCCAATGCTACGGAATCATTGTTGGGCATAAATGCTAGGGCTTGAAGCTTTATGTCACAGGAGAAGGGTGGAGAAATCTCAACTTGGTGCTGCCTGATTGTGCTTAGCTCCTGTGCCCAGGGCTGCGCTCTTGCCCCTCATCCCTGCGGGCGATGCCGCTCTCCAGGCGGGCAGCGGGGGCTGTCGCGATAGGGGCGGGGGTGCTATCGCGACAGGGCGGCAGGGCCGGGGGCGGGTCCTCCCGCCGGCGGGGGCGCCGCACGGAGCGGGGCGGGAGGAGCCGCGGGCCCGCAGGGAGCGGCTGCGGCGGCGGCGCCGCTCGGCTCGGCTCGGCTCGGCTCGGTGCCTCTCGGTACCGCTCGGCTCGGCTCGGCTCGGCTCGGCTCGACTCGGTGCCTCTCGGTACCGCTCGGCTCGGCTCGGCTCCTCCTCTCCAGCCATGGGTGAGCGGGGCCGCCATGGGCGGGCGCAGGGGGGACGCGGGGCCGAGGCTCGGGCGGGGAGCGGGGCTGTGGCGGTGCCGCGGGCGGGGAGAGGCCGGGGCCGGAGCGGCTGGAACACCGGGGCTCGGCTGCTCGTCCAGCCCGGCAGCGATGTCGCCTCCTGGGCCGAGCCTCGGCGCTCGGAGCCGGTGATGCTCCGGTGATGTTTGCGAGCCGCAAACAGCGCTTTATGGGGGCTGCTGCTTCGGGGAGAAGAGCCCTGCAGAGCTTGTTCTGTAATAACCCATCCACTACACGAGCAGCAGCGAGGAATTAGGATTTCACAGATAATAAATCCTAGATCTTGATTTTAAATTTAAATTTTATTTTTTTTTTTTAAGAAGCAGGTGAAGAAAAACATGCAGGTAGATCACGCTTTAAAGCAGAACCTAAAATGCATTTCGCCTCAGAAGGAACAGACGAGAGGGTTGATAATTAAAAGGACAGCAGGCATAGAAGTCTGTCTGAGGAGGATCAGCTCCAGAAGTCAAAATGAGGTCACCTGACAAAGGAATTTTCATGATGCCTTTGGGGAAATAGACAGGATATGTAGCAAGGAAGAGCTACCCACCTGAAGCCTGCACTGAGCAAGGCGTTTCCTCCACTAACACTTGTATTTAATCCTGTCAGTAGCAAAGCAATAATAAAATAAAATAATAAAAAAGGCAGGATGTCTGCTTTGCCAGCAGAAAGGCTCCACCTGTCCCGGGCAGGGATGCTGTGCTCCTGGCAGGGCTGGTCAGTCCCCAGCAGCTGAGCAGGAAGGAAAGAAGAGACAAAGCAGTGAGCTGTGGCTGCTAACTGGCTACAGTTTGACCAGAGCCCTGTCTCTCGTTATCTGATTGTTTTCTAATGTCTTCTGGGGTTTTCTGTTGCAGTTCTGGGTATAAAAGCAGTTTTTAAGGCTGTTGCAGGTACATAATCTCAGTCACTGTTTTCCCTAGAAAGCAGATGTAGGTTATGTTTCATGGCACTAGGCTAGTTGGGTATTTGGTAGGCAACTAGGGAAACAGAATATTAGAAAGTGATTTTCAGGGTTTCTAATATCCAATCCGTAAAGTCTGCAGGAAATGAGACAAGTCATTTCATTGCTGTTGAGGAACTGAGAAAATACCCATCTGTTACAATGATTTGGGTTCTTTGTGCTTTCTGATATGCAAACAGATACAGTCCTCCACCAATACTCAAATTTGAAAAGGAACAGGCTCACATCTTTTTTCTCAGATGCAAGTCCTTCTAGATATTTTGACATCTGTGTCTCAGTGTCTTTAAAAAAAAAAGTTTGTTTTTTTACTTCGCTTGTTGGATTTAATTAAACAGTAAATCGTCAACTCTTTTGTTTCTTTCCAGGTTACTTTGATGATACTGAATAAACAGAGGCTTGTTTTGTCTCTGAGAAAATAGGGTTTGGCCTGGATGTTTAAATTGCTTCATTATAAATGAAAATAAGCTTCAGAATTTCCTGAGCACTCTGTTCTCAGTAGCAGGATTTCTGAGAAGAGGAAACTTGTCCATTTTGTCAGACTGAGATGATTGTAAAAAGCTATGGATTTTTTACTGACTGGATTTAATTCCTCAAATGTATTTTTGCAGTGTACACTTTGTAATGTTTACCAAAAACTTCAGGTTAAAGCAAAACCTTTAATTCTTTAGATTATCTGTGTAGAAAATACTTGGTGGCTAGATGAGAAACTGAATTTTCAGTATGTAGTATTTTCCAGAAAATGCTCCCGGTTTAGTGACAGACTCTCTAGAGCCTGTGTTTGTGTCTCTGTGCAATTACAGTGGAAAGTGATAATATATAAAGAGTATGATTTCTGCTTCTGTAGGTAGGCTGTAATACACCAAATAAATCCAGCAATTAATAGGAATGGTGCTTTGATGCTGTGGGAGGGGCACTGGCTGTAGCCATGCAGCAGAATTTGGAGTGCAGCAGAGATTCAATTGCAGTGACCTGGCTGCTTCTGAGACAGCATTGTCCCGAAGAACTGACATTTCCCAGCCTCAGCTTTCCACTCACCTGTTAGAATCCTAAAAACGTGTGTTGGGTTGGATGCTTTTCTATGGCATGGTGGTTTCCAGCAGCTAAGGAATTTATTCTGTTGAGTTTATTATTCTTTGGCCAAGGTGGACATAAAGCACTTGATTTCTTTGTGTCACTCCTAAAACTTGAACACACCATAACGTTTTTTCCCTCTGTTGTCTTAGCTGTAAAGGACCCTACAGCTGTAGAAAGAGCCAATTTATTGAACATGGCCAAACTGAGCATCAAAGGACTCATTGAATCAGCCTTGAGCTTCGGGCGCACTCTGGATTCTGACTACCCACCTTTGCAGCAGTTCTTTGTTGTCATGGAGCACTGCCTGAAGCATGGCCTGAAAGGTGTGGAAATCTGTCTAGTTGCCTGTTTCTCATCCCAAAAGTGCCATTTTTCTTCTTTTCTTGCTGGAAGTAGATAAAAAAAAAAGTGTTATGTTGCATAAAGAATTGAAAAAAAACTATGTAAATGGTCACCTTTTATAATGAATAGTGTAATTATTAATTTTCACCACATATATTTCCACATTTGCCAGCTTGTCCTTTTGTACAGCATTTGTTTTAAGTTTACCAAGTGCATGTATGTATGTAGTGTATATTTTTAGCTAGACATCCTTCTTATATTCATTTTTTCTCGCTTATCAATTTAATATTCACAGCAAAGTAATTTGGAAGTTGGCTTTGGATACTGGTGAGCTGACCAATAACTCAGTTAAGAGTTAACTGCAACTCTGAAGTCAGCAGTTAACCCTTTCACACCCCAGATACTATAAAGTAAGCTACTGCAGTACTTTAAATTAATTCAGTTACTTGATTTTTCTCTTCATAGTAAGAAAATCCTTCCTAAGTTACAATAAAACCATCTGGGGTCCTCTGGAACTTGTGGAGAAATTATATCCAGAAGCTGAGGAAATAGCAGCAAGTGTCAGAGATTTGCCTGGCCTTAAGTAAGTAATATTGGTAAAATGCAGCAGGAAATTAAAGGACCTGTCTGAGAATCTGCAGGTGTCTCATGATTTTATTTGGCATTAATCAAGCCTTTGAAGAGTTAGCACTCTTCAAAGAGAGCACAGGTGGAAAAGGAGCAGGTTGTGTATCAGCCCCTCTGCAGTCTAGAACTGCAGCAAACATTAGTGGGTGTAGTCAGCAAAGGCTGTGTGAAACCAAAAAGTGACATACCAGAGAGGAAAGAATTAGGCAGCTTTTGAGAGTCTTGCCTGCACAGTCCTGCTCAGATGTGAATTTCATCTCTTCCCATTCCACTGCACTCTGCCTTTGTATTTAGCTTTTTTGTTGGCCATATATGAAATTCCAAAAGGGCTTAGTTACCCCTATAGATGTATGGCAGCATAAGGGTTCTGATTTATAGCTTTAGACCTTATCTAAAGCACAGAGGCATGTAAATTATTATTTACTCTTGTGGCAGGCCAGAGGAAGTAATAACTCTTGCCAAGTGTGATACTCCCTTCCTATCCTAACACAACTTGTGAGGGGTTTTTCTTTTTCCTTTATGTGCTTCCCACTTGTAAATATACAAGCACTAGAAGAGGAAGTTCTAAGGGTCCAGGTGTAGTTTGCTGGATATGTTACATATGTCTTCACCTTTTTTTGCATTGCCTTCCTAAGATAGCACTGAATTTATACACAGTTAAAGTTGGGAAGAACCAGAGAGAAGGATTGGGAAGGGAAGCTGCCATAGTGGCTAGTGATGGGCATTTGGTTCATTTTCTTGCAATTCCCCACAACTCTTAATAAAGAGGAATCTCAGCTGTTTGCAAGCATTTTACTTCAGCAGAAAACAGGACTTTGATGATTACCAGGCTGTTGTGCATTCTGTACTCCAGTTTTTCCAGGCTCTGCTCCCCAGCTCAGCTGAGGAGTTGAACATCTCTGTGTTATCCCAAAGCTTGGAATCAAAGCCTAAACATTTTGGTTTCCAGACGGTGATGCTCAACTAACAGTTGAAAATACCCCTTCAGAAACACCAGTTGCTCCAGCAGTGGACTGCTGAGGTGTTAAAGAGCACGATGAAATTAATTTGGGACTGTTTGTCTCCATGCCCTTTATTCAGGACCCCCCTGGGCCGTGCCCGGGCCTGGTTGAGGTTAGCGCTGATGCAGAAGAAAATGGCCGATTATCTTCGCTGCTTAATCATTCAGAGAGACCTCCTCAGGTAATACTATTCAATACATTTTGTTTGCAGGTTCTTTTTAGAGCTTTAGTCTCCTAAAAAATAATCCTGCCTTCCCCCACTGTGCAGAATAAGCACTGGAGAGGAGGTGATTTCATCCCTACTTCGTGTGTGGTTTCCACTGAGCTGCCATTGAAAGGAGGGCTCTGGCTTTGGACTTTGCTTTCACACTTCTAACTCTGGCATTGCTCTCTTCAAGTATAACTTCTCCTGTCTCATGGAATAATCAAAGCACATATGGAAAAAGATGCTTTTTAATTTCAGTATACATATTTTTAGGACTGACTTTTGTGCCTAGATAACACTGGCGTGTCAGGATGTTGTTGGTGTTCAGCAGCTATGGACTTTTCCAGTGAAAAGACAGTTTTTAATATGGAATCTAAAATTTTATTTAAAAAGTGCAAGGAGAAGAAAGTCCTTATATTCTCTTGTTTAATGAAGCAATTATATTTAAAAAACCTTTTTAGCATTTCAGCCCTTTATATTTCTCTTCTATCCATTTAATCTCTTCCTTGGGTCCTTGAATTTCAAGTATGTATTCACTAAATTCCAGGCATTTTTTCACAAAAGGTAATTCTTTTGCCATTCTTCTTTTACACTGCTTGCAGTGCTTCTTAGCAACTTCAGAGTTGTCTGATTCAGTGTGGCCAAACATCCATTTGTTGCAGTATCCTCTTCAAAACTGGCTAATAGCAGGTGTAGGGAAGAGCCTTTTCTGTTTGTTTTGTTGTTTTCTTTTAAAGTAAAAGTAAATCTTGTCACCCTCCCCACAGTGTCCCAGCCATCTGGAGCCTAAAGCAGTATTCTTGTTTTTAATAGCCTCTGAGACAAACCATGCACTGTGAATTTTTAAATATTTAAGAGGTGCAAGTATGGGCAGGCCCAGTTCATGTTTAAGGATTCTGTAGTAAGGCTACAATAAGAGAAAATTTAGATGTGTATGCCACTTATGATGAATTTATTGGATGTCTATATAATGAATATACCAGTAAGATGCAATTTTCTCCTTGGACACAGTGAGTTTTATGAGTATCATGCCCTGATGATGGAGGAAGAAGGAGCAGTTATTGTTGGGCTGTTAGTTGGGCTAAATGTGATTGATGCCAACTTGTGTGTGAAGGGAGAAGACCTGGATTCACAAGTAAGTCCATCCAGGTAAAGGAATGTACATGCAATCCCTGGGAGTTTCCTGTACTTTTGTTTGTGAATTTTGTTACTTTGGAGTGGTGACTTGTTAGAAAATCCTGCTGGGGATTATTCAGGGTGTGATGATCCAACCCCTGGATCTGTGGGGTTGTTGCCTTAACCTCATTATCAGCAGGGTCAGACCTGGAATGGAGATAATGGTCAGAGTGCAAGGGTGAAGTTTTGTGCTTTGTCCTCAGTTGGGAGCAGCTGCAGCAAGGCAGAGTTTTTCCATCTGAATTGTGTGATCCATCCTTTTCCTCTGTGGGACAAGATCAGTTTGCCCTGCTTGGTTCATTTATTGTTCTGGAACATGACAGGAATGATACAGGGACCTGAAACAAACACTGTCTCATAAGAGGGTGACTACTTTGATTCTGCAAAGCAAGACTTGGAATTCTTCCTGCTTTGAATGGGCTTTGACTTTTAACCCTGATCTTTTCCAAGAAAATATTAACAGATTGTGTTCAAAGGCAGATGCACAGGTATTCGTGAATAAATGTAGACTATGTTCAGTCCTTATTGGTTTTTTCAGTTTCTTTGTGGAAAAAAAAATCATGGTAGCTTAAGTGATTATTACTATATTTATATATTTGATGAAAAAAGTTCCTCTGGGAAAGAAAAGTTACAGCTAATTGGGTTTGTGGGCTCTTGAATCACGTGGTTAAGTTGCCCTCAGTTGTTTGTGCTAGTTTCTGTGTAGTGTTAGTGTAAAAGAAGATATCCCATTGACAGGCCTGTGATTACAGAAACTTATCAATTTGCTTTTAGTGTTGAGAATTAAGTATGTGTATTATAGACCACAAAATCTATCTGCACCTCTCTTCTCACTGGGTGGCCTTGCTGCATGAGAGAGAAAACTCAATTTGAGAAGGTGGTGGTGGCTGTGCAGATAAGATTCTGATTGCAGTGTGTCCAAATTTGTAAAATGTCCAGAATAATTCTGTTTGTGAAGAGTAGGATAAAGAAGGCACCTTCTCAGAGAAGCCAGGTTTTATTGAGCAGCAAGGCAAACTTCTGAACCTTGATGGAAGTCACAGCCAGGAGCACAATTTTGGTATGTTGAAATAATGCTGCTCAGTGGTGAAATGTGTTTATGCAGCCATAGTGAATTGAAATAAAGTAACTTTTATAGACAGAACATTCTGCCTTATTAATTAGAGATGGGATTTTGCTGTAATAGGAAAACTTTTTAAAAAGTTGTTGGAGAAAAGACATGGAAGGAACAAACAGGATCCTGACAGGAGAGCACTGCATAAATCAAGTAAATATTAAACTTAGTAAAATCTTGTTTAAATTGTTATAGTTCAGGTTTTTCAGCTTCTGGATGAATCTTAAAAGTGCTGTAACTGAGGTTTTATCAATTGCATAAATACAGGGCTGTAAATATCAACAGCACTCATTTGTATGATATGAAAATGCACCTTTGCTTTCCCCTAGGTGGGAGTAATCGATTTCTCTGTGTATTTGAAGAGTGATGATGACATTGGGGGTAAAGAAAGGTATGTCCTCACAAAATACCTCCTTTTTTGCGTGTTAACAAACAATTCATTGGCTGGGGCCTGTTCTTTTAGAGATAGGTCAGGTTCCCTAAAGATGAAATTATCTGATCCTGAGAAAAATGCCCCACTGTGTTGTTCTGTGTTATTAGTTAGCTGGGAAAATATTTGCAGTCTGAAGCAAACCTCAGCAGCATCACCTAATGCCTCCAAGTAGTGGGGGCTTGCCAGGTGGAAGTGAAAAAGGAACCTGCAGTCCTTTAAGCCCTCAGCTTGGGATTTAGTCAGAGTTTCAAAGAACCAGAGTTATGGCAGAGTAAATAAACATCCTTATCCTTCTCAGGCTGTGCATGTTGTGTTTCATGTAGAGAAATTGTTTGCAGTTAAGGCATTGCATTTTTTTGTGTCTCACTGATAGAGCAACACATGTGTTGTTGCCTTCATGAGTGTGAGATGAAGTTGCTTCCTTTCTTTTTAAAAACACAATTAAGATGGATATTTGCATATGGTAAATATGTTTATTTTCAGTCCATAGTTTAGTACGTCATTTTGTTAATTTTATTTTGTGCTTGCTTTAGAAATGTACAGATTGCTGCAATATTGGACCAAAAGAATTATGTTGAGGAACTAAACAGGCAACTGAAGTAAGTATGACTTTGGAGTATGGGTGTCAGGCCAGGCTTACAGGTAAATAATGCCTTTTGTACCACAGCTTTGTGAGAGAACTCCAGAGAAAGAGCTGCAATTATCTTTGTTTAGACTGAAGATTTAGTGAAGTAGTAAAAGACACTCTCCTGGAGAGCTCAGTGTCAGCTTTCATGCTTTTGGACAGTCAAAACCTTTATTCTTCAAAGAAATACAAAACCAACAGGCCAGAGCTGGGAAGATCCTCATGGTTCATAACTTCACAGGAGTGAAGAGCTTGGGCTGGATTCTGTGTTCTGTTTAACAGTTTGCCAAAAATGGTTCTGTATGTTCTGGTGAATCCATATGTTTTTATTTCTTTGCCTTTCAGAATATTTTAGTTTGTGGCTTTAATGCCTAGGACTGAAACTGAATAAGCTCACTGCTTGCTAGAAATACTTATATGTGGTAGGTTGAGGTTCCTGTTGAAACAATTCTCAGGAAAGCAGCATTTTCCCCTTACTTTGCTGCATGGAACAAACCTAGTCCACCACTGTGTCTGTTGCTGTGCAAATAGAAGAACAGTGATTTAAATTCTCTGAGGAGTATTGTACAAAATTAAGCAGTCTGAGGAACTGAAAAGGGAAAAAACCACAACAAACCAAAATGAAACAACAAAGCCAGAAAGAACTTCTGTAGAATCTGTAGCACAGCTGATCTAGAGCCTTTTTGAATTGTAATAATCTTTTAAATTTTTTAATGCTGGTAATCTGGATCATTGGTTACTATAAATCTCCTGTTGGAGTAAGGATATTCTGCTCTGAAATGGTGTCACTGAGCAGAAACCTTCAACAGCACAGAAAAGCTGAGCACATCAAATAGGAGCAAAATGGAAGGAAAGGAGGAAAAAGGAGCTATCACAATTGAGAGCAGTGGTGTCTGTGCAATGTCATTACCCAGGTGAGCCTCTCTGTGTTCTTGTATACTGGTTTATGCACAGAATTTCCTGCCAGATCAGGGATTCAGCTGTTTGTGTTTAGAAATCCTAAAATGCATTAATCTTTCTGCCCTGCTGTTCCTAATGCACTGGCAACTTCCTAGGACACCACAGAGAAAAATATGTGAAAAAGCAAATGGTGTTACAGAATAGGTTTTCTGTTTCCCTGTGTGTGAAGTGCAGCCTGGAAAAAAGGTGCTTCCTGCAGAAATAGGCAGTCAGGTTCTGGAAAAGGCCTGGATGTAGTTTGATACTATAAAAAGCAACAGAGTAATAAAAGGCAGTCAAACTCTGGTAAGACTCCTAAATGAAATCAAGAAGCATCAGGAAAGAGATAGCCTAAGGACAATCTCAAAAAATACAGAGAAACAAATGATTTTACAAAAGAAATGTATTTTGGAGGAAGAGAATCTGGAGAATGGTTTTGTTCTATAGGGGGGACCTCATTTATCTTTTGGATGCAATACAGTTGTGAGGATTAGGGAGAGTGCATGGGAAGTTACAGCCAACCAGGAGTTTAAGTGACAGGGTGACAGTAGGAACTGGAAAGAAGTATATAAATATTCAAAGCAGAGTCATTTTCTTACATTTAGGAAAACCTCCAATAATGGGAACAGACCTCAGCCCTTAACCATTAATCACTGTACATTAAGTACATGAAAGCTTTTGAGCTTGGTTGAATGAGTTTTGATGTAATCCTGAATCCCAGTGTTTCTTTTTCCCTTCCAGTAGCACAGTTAGCAGTCTACATGCAAGAGTTGACTCGCTGGAGAAATCAAACACTAAACTGATTGAAGAGGTACTTTTTTGTTTTAGTAATGTGTAGCATATTATTTTCTCTGAAGGACTGTTTTTCTAAATATACTTACATTAATTAAAGCTATGGAAGTTCTGTATAATATATTCAGATACCTTTATTTTGGCCTGAAGAAGAGGGGCAGCAGCTGCAGGGATTTGAAGGCCAGGAAGCCTCTAACATGAGTACATTAATTCTGTAGAACATTGCAATTTCCAACTTTGGACAAAATGAGAAGGGAATCCTTTCTTAATGCCAGCTGTCAGTCTGATTTGTGCACATGACTAGTCTAGAATGGATGGCACCAGTTATTACAAAGAGACACAAAGTAGTTCACCAAGCTGCTTCTGTTGCAGTTCTCAGCTTTACCCAAAGGATTGTTTCTTGCTTGTTTGCTGGATGCTTATATAGAGCTTTTAGACTTGTCTGAATAAGCTGTGTAACCCAGACTGGCTCTGAATTTTTGTTTATAGCCTATATTTCTGGCTATCTTTGGTGCTTGACTAGTTTCCAATATTTTTAGCTTTATAAGAGAGAGCACCTTTTCTAGTTAATGTAGTGGAAAATTGAAAACTGAATTCAGCTAACTCACTCTGGGAATAATGTATCCAGACAGAGGGAAAACATTTCTTCTGAGTGTTAATTCTCAGTATTCTGGTTCCTTTATAAGCCTTCAGTCCACCTATTTTAATCCTTTGGCTTATAATTCTGACATGAATCTATGTACTGTAGGCCCCAGTTATAAAGTGTAATCGTTTATAAATATTTTTGTTTTTCATATGGGGGAGGCTTTCTTATGTAAGCTGCTCCATGTGATATCTTAAGATGCCCAAAAAAGAAAAAGAAAACTGGATGAACTTGAAGCCAAGTGGAAAGAAAAGGTTGAGGGTGAGGAAAGAGAATTGAGGGTCTTTAAATCATAATGTATCTTTAATTCATAATGGAGCAATGAAAGGAAAGCACCTTCTTAACCAGACATGAAACAGTGAAGAATCCTGAACATGCTGCTGCTGTGTAATCAAAGTGACTCATTATTAAAACCAGGAGCTTGATGCTTTCTTTAAAAACAACTAATCCTCTCTTTGGCAGACAGGGAGAACAGAGCAGAGAATGTCTTGGTCTTGCATTAATCAGAACGTTTTTTTCCTTCATTTCTACTCACAAAAGTGGTCACAATGCTTTTCTTTTGTTTCTTTCCAGTTAGCAATAGCAAAAAACAATATAATTAAACTTCAGGAAGAAAACCATCAATTGAGGAGTGAAAATACTCTGATTTTAATGAAAACACAGCATCATCTAGAGGTATGCTAGTTTTAATATTGTAACATAACGTGGTTAATTTTGGTTCAAAAGTTTGTACATCTCAGCTTCAGGTAAGCTTAACTTGAAAATAACTTTTATGAGGGACTTATTAGGTCTGTGGAGCTTTCTAAGTGGCATAAGTAAATTAAAATTCTAGGACACTGGATTGTTTTACAGCCATATGCACGTGCAGAGTATTGAAGTGACACCAAAGGAGGACAGCACTGCAGTACAGATGTGCATTTTGTGGTTTTACTCAGTTCTCATTCTCTAACGAGCAGAGACAGCTCTTCCCGTGTTTGTCCTGTGCTGGGAGGATGTGTTGGTAGATTTTTCTCCATATTCCCCACGAGTGTTAAATTCATGCCATTAAACTGCAGCACCTGTGTATGTTTGTAGGCAACTAAAGTGGATGTGGAGGCAGAGCTGCAGACCTACAAGCACTCGAGGCAGGGCTTGGATGAGATGTACAACGAGGCTCGCAGGCAGCTCCGTGAGGAGGCACAGCTGCGCCAGGTGAGGCTTCCCTGGCACTGCTCAGCACCCTCTGTGCCAGCAATTTTATTTCTTTTTGTAGCCAGCATCAATGTTTCTGTAGTAACATTGCTGCATAACTCTAAGAAAACAACCACTTTTTTTTTTTTGTTTGCTAAATTTTCAGGTAAGCTTTTAGCTATACTCTCTGTGCTAAACTGTCCTGTGAAAATACAAATGCTTCTGTTCTATTTTGCAAGTTAATACTTAGGCAGCTCTGGAATGATGATTTCTTACAATGTGAGTTGTCTTCTCCCAAAGTTAAAAAGCCCCACTGGTGAGTTAGTATATGAGTGCAACATTTATGGATAATTTGCAAAGGTTAAGTGGGGCAGAAGTTCTGTAGCTGTAAAATAGGTGGTGCTGCAGCTCTGTTAGAGTTTCAAACCAGAAAAAAAAAAATTCCAGAACTGTTTAAATTGTTTGTGTTGCTTTGTGCTTGTGCTTTATAGGATATGGAGAATGAGCTGGTGGTTCAAGTTAGCATGAAACATGAGATAGAGCTTGCCATGAAGCTGCTGGAGAAGGATATCCATGAGAAGCAGGACACCCTCATCGGCCTGAGGCAGCAGCTTGATGAAGTCAAAGCAATCAACGTGGAAATGTACCAAAAGCTGCAGGTAAAGGGACAATGACACTGCTGAAAGGAGCACAGAGAGACAAATGTATTGTTACCATTCTGGTCAGCTGAATGCTGCTGTTCCCTGGAGTTCTGGTTTCCTTGTGCTTCTTAGGTCAGCTTGACATTTTGGAACATTACCTATGTAAACATGGTTTCATACAAAGAAGTTCTTAAGGCAATCACTTAGTGGGTTTAGGGAAGAAAAGAGCATGAGGATAAGATCATGGCCTAATAATAACCTGTGTGAAATAGAGAGAGTAATAGTGTACTGTAACAAGGACATTTTTTTGGCCTGCATTGTATAAAAAAACCAGAAGAATGTAGGCACATAGTGAGGAGTTGAAGAGAAGCTCTGGCTTTCCAAAGTAGGGAAAGGAAGACAAGAATATGTTAAATGGAAAAAGCTAATTACAGTTTTGGGTTTAGTTTTAAATCTGTTAACAAATTAAGAAAATCTCTTGACAATGAAATGCCTTTTTTTGGAGAATATGGATCTCAGGGACCCCAAATGCAGTTAACAAATGACCAAATACCAGCGAATTATTTATGCAAAACACGAATTTGATTTAGGGAATAAATTGTGAAAACCAGCACAAAAAACCAGTCAAATCTGTGGCAGAATGAGGGGGGAAAATTTAGGATGCTGCAGAGAGATAATTGAAGTGATAGACAAAGGATTCTACTTTCCCATCTGCAAATGGACCAGAGGATGAGAAATACAAACAAAGCTGAAGAGAAAAATGAGAAATGTTCTTCAGTGTTAGGATCTGGTGGGGGTGGATTTATAGGAGAACCTTGGGTGATTTTCTGGACTAAGCTCCTTGCTCTTCACTGGTAAGGCTCTAATGGGCTGCTTGGTCAGTGAATTTAAGTTGACTTTTAGAAGTGATTAACTGAGGAAGGAAACCAAAGAGGAACATTTTTACTTATTAAATATTAAACAGCATCTACACTTGCAAAATAGAAAACTACAGATTTTCTAGGCAAAATATTTTACATACTGTCCTCAAGGGTTTTTAGAAGGCCAATCCTTAAAGAGAACCAAAACTTGAAGCCATTTTTACCATCTGCCCCTTTAGATACTGAAGAAAGAGGCCCCACCAGGTAATGGTGCAATTATAGCAGTCTCAGTTTGAACCTCTTTTGTAACACAGGTTTCTGAAGATGCTATGAAAGAAAAGAATGAAATCATTAGTCGATTAGAGGATAAAACCAATCAAATTAATGCAACTATGAAACAACTAGAACAAAGGTACAGCCCCATCTTTGTTTCTCTTCATTCACAACTCCACCCCCTGACATCTTACTGCATTCCTACAGTTGCCACTGAAATGTAATTTTCAACTAGAACATTTAAACCAAACCTTCCTGAAGCTGCTCATTAGTTCTTTGCTGTTGGACTGTTTGTTTTTTTTTTTTCTGTTTGACAAACACACTCAATTTAAACACAAACTTAATATTTCAGTTTTCTTCCTCTACCATCTTTCTTCTGGTCCTAGGTTTTTATTCTGATATCAAAAGTTGTTCTTTCAGTTGTTTCAAAGCTCTGATTCCTTATTGCTTTCTTTTTTTTTTCCCCCCTCCTGAATGAAATGCAATAGAAACTCAAGCATTAATCTTGCTTATACTTAAGCATATGCTTAATATAAACATTAATGCCTTCAAGGATCACTGGTTGTTTGCTGAAGCTGTTATAATTGTTGTCCATTGCTTTGGAAGTGCCATTATTTTCAATGACTTAATGAATTTTCATGCTGAAAGGTTGAAAAGTGAAAGACTAAAATTCCAGAATATAAATTTACATGATAGTTAGACTGCATGTACTGCATAATATTAAGATGTGATTCACATGTTTTAATCTAGTGGCTTTATATGCAACATTGATCTTTCTAATTGTAAAATATAACATATCCATAAGCCCTGTCATGTTGGTGTTTGACATGTCTTTTTTTTCATTTAAATCTGATTATGAAAAACATGCTTATGTATTAAAAAAATTAGTGACATGAATATTCTTTTATTGACATCCTTTTTTCCTCTTTTTTCTTTTTCTTTTTATCCTTTTATCCCAATTTTTGTTCTTTACTGTTTTGCTGCCTTCATCTGTCTTTGATTTTTGTCCACTGCATTCATGAAGTGACAAAGATCTGTTAACTCAAACTAGGACTATTGCAATGTCATTTGTCAAATGTGCCAGCAATGAGGCTCAGCACCAGTATAAACTTGTCAAGGATATATCATTCTGAAAGCTCCTCCAGATCTCTTGTGTTGAAATAATTGCTGATAAAATAGGACCTCAGAGTTGTCCAATTAAAACTTGAAAGTGGTATTAGAAATCCTGCACTGTAACTGATCGTAGCTGGGTTCTGGTTTTGTTTTCTGAAAGAACATCACCTCCGATCTCACTTTACCCCTCCTAAAAAAAAAAAAAAGAAAAAAAAAAAAGTAAATTACTGCACTATTATTAAGCAGATGTAAGCTAGTTTTCTAATACTATTGAATCACTTCTTTGTCAAATTTTATTTTAAGAGGTTAGAAGTCTTTACTTTGACTGAACATTTTTATGACACTTGTTTCTAATTAGCGATTTTCTGGTTCTTTAGTACAAAGAGATTTAAAAAGCAGCCCCATTGGCTGATACCTCCCTTCTCCCCTGCTTCCTCCTTTCACTTTTAGGCTGTATTTATCCCCAAAGCACGCTCTGTTGGGCTTTGTGGTTGTAACTAGCACTGTTCTCTTCAACAGTGGCAGCAGTTGGAAGGAGGGAGCTGAGCTGTCTGGGAAGGATGGATGTAGGAAAAGAGGGTGGTGCCAACATCCCTGCTGTGTGCGTGCAGTGAAGGAATGGCAGCCTTTGGACACCTAAAGCACAGTTCCACCTCCCTGATGGAGGAGAACACTCTCATGGAGCAAAAATGTGTTTGGAGAGACAGGGTACTGCAGCAAATTCTGTAGCTGTGCCTCCTGCACAGGGGGAGCAGTGAGCACATTTACAATGAGGGCCCAGATCCTGAACCTGCCTAACCTGTTTGTCAGCTGAGGATCTTGCCTGGCTGTGTCTGCACTGAGATCAACACCCCGACCCTTTTCCCTCTCTCCACCCATCATTAGGCAGCTTTTACAGCTCCTGTTTCTGCTGTGAGCTGCTGCCTGCCTGCACTGCAGAAAGAAGAGTTTAGGCTGCTGACTGCCCTTAATACACTCCCTGATGTTTGCTCTGAAGTTGACTGGGAAAATGATCTTAGGGTTTTGCAGCAGAAGGGGATGTGTTTGAAAAGATGGGGGCAGGATGCAATAATACAGAGAGGGTTTCTGAAGCATGGTTATGTATTAGATTATTCCTTGGTTTGGAGGCAGAAAGAGCTTTTAACATGAGCTGGCTACTGAAAAATAACTTATCTTCCATCTCCAAAGAAAACCCAGACCAGAAACACTGAATAGGACAGCAGGAAGACCGTGGCAAAAATGGGAGCCTTATCCACCTCACTGTCATCTATGCAAACAAGTATCTGCCACAGTGTCACCTGAATGCCAGACCCAGCTGCAAACTGCAGCCAGCCCAGCATCTGCCTGCATTTCAGCAGTGCAGCCAGCCCTGCTGCTGGGCTGGGGATGATGCTGCAGCTTTTGGGGAGCAAGCTCCCTTTCTGCCTTGCTCGTGGAAACAACTCTGCCACTGATTTTGTGATTTAGGGAAGGGTTTAAGGTGCTTTTGGTGTTGATGTCTTGTGTAGCTTCAGTCAGCTTCTGCACGGGGGAGGGACCTGCTTTTGCCCAATATTCTCCCTCCCATGGCTTGGCCCTGTGTGCACTGCCATTGTAAATGTGGCTGGGAGCATTCTTCAGGCCCCTGGGATAGTTGTGTGAGATAGTGCACCCTTGATAAGGTAGTTTAATTCCAGCCTTGTTCACTTGTTTGCCAGCAGCTTTTGGAAACTCCCTCTGGTGCAACTTCATCAGCAGAAGCACAAATGCAGACATATTGCTGACACATCTTCTTTTTAGCTGACACTGGGGGCTGGCAGCAGCTCTGTGTTCAGTGAGCTGCTGGGAAGTGAGAAATCCACCCTCTCTGATTTCTCCCTCCACTTACCTGAGAGACCCTTGAGACAGTTTTGCAGAACACAATGCATCAGGTGGGGACATTGACTGGGGTTTTACAGGCTCTTGTATTCCCCAGACAGGTGTAACCATGACATAGCACAAATGCCCTTTTAGTACATTTACTTTTGTCACAATATATCCACCAGAGAGAAACCACAGTGAGCTAATGCATTCCAAGGGCAGTGTCAGCTGAACAACCCTGGAACTCAGAAAGAAAAGTTTCTATCAAATAACAATCCCTCATTTCTTGATTAATCTTTTTGATTTGTCTATAGTATTGGAGCTATTTTAACCAGTGTAAGAATGCATTATTTTTAATACAGACTATTGAAATTAATTATGATGTAGTTGAGGTAGTCCTGTAAATGTAGTGGGACCTGTCAGGGTGTCTTTGTTGTATTAGGCTAGTCAAGTTTTTTGCTGTCTGATTGCAGTGCTCTGTATGCAACCTTATGCCTCAATTGTTTTGAGCTGCTTTTGCACAACACATGCTGTGCCCTGTCTTAATGGGTGATTAGTGCAAGCCAAGTACTTTTACAGAAATTACTTGGGGGAAGAAAAAGCTTCAGAAATAACACATGAACGTATGCTAAAGGAACAAGAAAAGCATCAAGTTAAATGCTTCAATTCTAAAATATGTATCATGCTTTGGCACCTGTTATTCATGAGCATAAAATAAAACACTTATTACTTACAGTGATTATTCTCTTAGTGTATGCAAACCCAGGAGCTAAGTTCTCATAGGCATTGTATGGATTTCTCGTTTGAGTTTGTGAGTTTCCCCCAAACTTTGTTTTTATTTAGAAATGTTTCTATTTCCCCATTTTTCTTTTATTTGTCTTCTTCACCCTCTACACCCTAGTTCTAGCTTCAGTTTTACCCAAAGTTGATTTGAATTACACCAGATTGCAGCAAGCAGAGAAGGCTCAAATGGAGGCTGAGGCTGAGGATGAGAAACTTAAACAGGAATATGTGAATAAATCTGAAAGCCTGCAGAACGAATTCTCCCAGAAGGAGAAACAGCTGTGAGTATCTCATTCCTGTTTGGGGAAAATGCATGGCAGTAAACATTCTACATTGCAATATGTCCTCTGTCCTAATACAGGCTGCTTGTTGTTGAATGGTTTTGAACAGAATGTAAATACTAAAGATCTTCATGTCAGGTACTGGCAAGGCAGGAGAAAAAATATCATTCCAAGGAAGCCAAGCTGGCTTTGGATGCCTTTAAAATGACATAGAGTTTGAAAAGAAGGGGAAGAACAGCATTATTTCTTGGCTAAAAGTGCCAGCTTAATTCAGGAGGAAATTATCCTAAGTGGGGGAAAATACGTAGTGGAGCAGTGGTAAAACACACTTTTAACAAAGCCCACGAGTGTGGAGTAGTGTAGACTTAACCAGAAATGGCACAACAATAGTTTGATCAATCCAGCTAAGGGTGAGGTAGAAGTGGTTGAACTAGCACTGCACAGGAAATAAAAAGTGAAAATCCAGTGGAGTCATGAAAGTTAAAAGCTAATGTACAAGCCAACCCTCTAATCTTTCTCCTGTTACATCCTTCAGTGCTAATTTAAATCAGTATGTAATGTTAGAAGCTCCCTGTAAGAACAGGTGCTTTCCTTCTTTGGGAAGATAAAACATCAGTTATTGAAGTGAATCCTTAGCACAAAGACTGGGGCTTAAAAATCAATTATTTCCAATCCAGTTATTAGCCCTCCCCTGCCTCTCTCAAAACTCTGAATGTCAATCCACTTGTTCAACTGTCATGACAAATGTTCACTTTACTACCACAGTCACCTCTGCAGATTTGGGCAAAAGAACAGTTCAGACCCCAGCCTTAGAATTCTGCAATTCTGAAACCTCCAGGTCATGTTCACTTCTTTTCCAGCCAGATGCTGAGGTAGTGTCCCAAAATGTAAGTCTTTCCTTTAAAAGTGGGTTTGGTTTTCAAACAGGAAAATTAATGTGGACGTAGGTTTCCCATCAAAAGACCTTGCATGAATACTCTCAGATATTTTTTTTCCTCTTTTCCTGTGTTGGCACAGTTTAGATCTAGAAGGTTGAAGAGTGTGCTTCCACCCTTTGGTTTCTCCATAGCATTCTAAACACCAGCTCTTCCATGAAACCAATAGGAAAATTCCAGCTAGAATGGGTCTTCTCTCAGAATAGAAGTCCTTTAACTGAACTTCAGTTAAGCCAATCGAATCTATATCCCTCTTTATGCTGGACCTCAGCTGTGCAAGAAAGCTTAATAAAAATAGTAATTTAAAGTCCTTCCTCCTTTATTTTCAGTTCTGTTCAAAATGCCATAAACCTTAGCCTAAAATAGGAGATTCACATCTAAGGGTGTAAAATGAAAGAACGTTTATGGTGTCAGAGACACCTGCAATGATTCTGCATCACCAATGACACTGTGGCTGGCTGGTTTGGTTTATTTTAGAAACAAGCTGGATAAAGTAAAGGGGCTTTGCCTTATTCATGTTTTAAAAATACTTCAGAATTTTGTGGTTAGTCTTCTTTTACTCATTTGTTTCAAAGGTCAGCTCTTCAAAATTATGCCATATTCCTGGTCCTTTAAATAAACTTACTTTGAGTAGCATTTTCTAAGTGACAGTGCTTTGTTTATTACACTGCTACCTAAAATTTCATTATATTGACACATTATTTCTGGTTTAGAAAACATGTAAATTAATAATTGATTATGGTAATAGTCTATTGCACCCAGAAATAAACTCAGTTTTGTTTGTAAAAGTGATACAGTTGTGCACAGTGATTTTTTCTTTTGTTTTGTTTTCCCTGTTTTAGGCTTCAGCTGGAAACAGATCTGAAGATAGAAAAAGAGTGGCGGCAAACCCTGGAGGATGATCTTCAGAAGGAAAAGGAAACTGTATCTCATCTGAGAACAGAGACCCAGCAAATAGTTAACCTTAAGAAAGTAAATTCTGCAGCAAATTTGGACTAGTGATTTAGAAATTGATTGCAAAGTTAGTTATGGACTTAGACACAGTATTTTAAAGAATTTTTGCAAATAGATAAGAAAAATTACATGAATGTATTCTTACGAATAGAAAGAGGAAAAAATGGGCTTTTTACTCCCCATTTAGTCCTCAGAGCAGAACTCAGTGCTTTGGGTAAGGAAAAATGAAATCCTTGCTTTTCCTTCTCACTTGTGTTGGAGGCTCTGTCTCCTCCATCTAGTCCAGACCCGTGGCTCTCTGGTGCTCTTGGGCTCTCCAGTCAATCAGAATTTATTTTCTCCCTGGAGTGGGCTGCAGAAGCAGAAATGTTCCTTTAACTCTGGTGGTCCAGGAGAGTTTAATCCTGAGCAGTTGCTGTTCAGGTTGGATTTGGAGGGAGTGTGAGGGCACTTGGCTTTCTCAGCAAGATCAGCTTCAGTAGGAGCAGCTTTTTAGGCAGTAGGGCAAGCACAACTGGAGAATAATCTGGTTTCTTATTATTTTATTTGTTTTGTTTTAAGGAGTTCCTTAAAGTTCAGGAGAAGAACAAGCAACTGAAAAGCATTTGTGAGGACCAAGAAGCTGCTCTCCAAGAACTGGCATCCAAGCTGAGCGAGTAATTTCATTATTCATGATGACTTTTACATATTGTTTTTATCATATACACTTGAATTAAGAAAAATAGTGGTACAGTGGTAATGCATATTAGACAGTAAATGACAATATTTTTATTATTTTGATAACTAGCCAGTTATCAGAAGTCAATGTGTCTAGTTATGTGAGGCCTGTTAATTTTTATTTTTGGCTGGTGGGTGGCTGTGAACTCGTGGGTAAAAAGAAAATCCTGGTTTGAAGGGCACTGGGCTTTGTTCTGCAGTGAGAACAGTTGCCTGGTTTGCCAGTTGTGGCTCCTCCTGAGCCCCAGCCACACACAGCTGCTCCCTCACTTCCCCACCACTGGAATCAGGGAGAGAGCTGGAAAGGTGGAAACTGGAAAACTCATTAAGGGTTGAGATAAAGACAGTTTAAAAGGGAAAAGAAAAGCCACACATGCAAGCAAAGCAAAACAAGGAATTCATTCACTGCTGCCCATGGTTGGGGAGGTGTTCAGCCACCCCCAGGAGAGCAGGGCTCCATCACGTGGAATGGTGCCTTGGGAAGGCAAAACTCCATCACTCCGAGGCTTGGAGTGCCCCTCACCCTTCCTCCTTCTTTGCCCCACCTTAGACACTGAGTGTGATGATCAGCCACACGGTCTGGACATACCCTTATGATCCCCGGGCTGCCCTGTCCTGGCTGTGTCCCCTCACTTCCCAGCACCCTCAGTCTCCTCCCCTGCAGGGAGCAGGAAAGGCCTTGGCTCTGTGTGAACCCTGCTCAGCAATAACAGCAACATCTCTGTGTTATCAACCTGTGTTCAGCACAATTCCAAAACACAGCCCCTGGCAAGGAGGGGAGCTGCAGCCCAGCACAGCTGCCCAGTCTGCAGAGGATGGAAGGGGTCACCTGGCCAGCAGCACCCTCCTTGTTGTGCTGAAGCTTCATTCAGTGCTGTCTTCTCAGTAGTTCTGCTGTGATTGATGTGGCCTTTGCTGCCCTGTAGAATATCTGTGTGTGTGTCTCCTGTGACCCAGTTCTCAGTGGGCTGGCACTGGATGACTCTGGGGAAGCTTCTTCCTCCAAAATGACATAATGTGGTCTTGTACTCTCGCTCACAGGACTTGGCTTAAAATTTTTTAAGTAAGCCAGCTTTTTAAGTTGTTAGAGCATAACTGACCATGTAGAAGTTTAAAGTAGCATTATCTTATTCTTTAGATCAAAGCTGAAAATAGAAGATATAAAAGAAGCGAACAAGGCACTGCAGGTCAGTAGCATTTTGAGAAAAGAAACTTTAAACTCTTTATTTAAAATTTTTTAAACTGTTCTTTTTGAAATCTTTCATAAGCATGAGAAGACTTCTCTCCAACAGCAGCTATTCCAGAGAGACTCATTGTATGATTTCCTCCAGTGGGAGAGAACCACAGACTCCCTGTAATCCCCTGGAAAAAATCCATTTGCTTTTGATTTTCCTTGTTTGATGCAGAGCTGTGCATTTTGGCCCTTTTCTTGCAATGGTACACACCTTTCTATAATTTACAGAGGGTATCTGGGACAGAATGTGAAGCCAGCTGAGCTTATATTGCATAGTACTTCTCAGTGATCAATAAATATTTGATCATCCTAGGAACTGAGTAAACTTGTAGCACCAAAGCTGATAAAATGTGTAATGTCAGCAGGTTTGGGACTTCCTTAAAGACAGCAGGGAGCACCTGAGAGCAGAGATTTTTGTCTGCACATGTTTGATCATCTGGTGTCACCTGGCATAGTACTGCAGGCCAGGTAAAAGTGTCTGAAATGGCTGAGCAGACATCTGGGTTGATTAACTAGTTTAAACAGAAGGAAATTGGCAATTCCTGACACTCTCCTGAATTTTTTGGCTTCTCTGCATCTTGAGGACTGTTCCCATGAGATGAGCAGGGACATCAGCTTCACTCTGAGGCTTGGATGCCTTTCTGCTCTTGCAGCTGAGCCACTGCCCAGCTTTACCCCTTTGAGCATTTTCTCTCTGCACCTAAGCTCTGTCTTGTCCCCTAAGGTTTTGCTTTAGGGTGTCTTTGTGACACTGCACAGGTCCCAGGGCACTGAGATTTCAGGCAATGAATGTTCTCCTCTTGATTTGTACCCTGGAGCCCAAAGTTTAACTTCATCACATACACAGAATTATGATAATTTTTTCTCCAGGGCCAGGTTTGGTTGAAGGACAAAGAGGCCACTCATTGCAAGCTATGTGAAAAGGAATTTTCGCTTTCCAAAAGGAAGGTAAAACTATAACAAGATTTCTCCCAACTTGTTTACATGGATTATGTCATTATTATTACGAGTATGATGTAATTATTAATTATATGAGGTGTTGCATGAAATGTCAATGATCAGGTGAATGCAGAGTTATTTTTGAGATATTTTTCCAGTTCTTTGATACATACAATGCAGCTGGGCCCTAATTTCAGAAGAAACAGTGTCCTGGTGAAGTTGCACAAAGCAACTTAGTTAAAAATTATTTAACTTCTTTGTGAAATTGTTATCTCAAACTCTTATCAGCTCTGGCACTGTTAGAATTTGACATGTGTAGAAGACTTTTTATGGCATTTTTTATATGCTAGAGTAAGAAAATATGAGTTTATTGTCATTTTAAAGTAAAATGTGCCATTAATTTCCATGCTTTATTAATGTGTGCAGGAAGTTTTCTTTACCTTGTTATGTTAAATCTCAATCAGCTACCTGACAGAAGCATCCACTGTTTTGGATATCATTGCTCATGCTGCATTTTTCTATAGCAGAATACATTCTTAATCCAGGGTTTGAATGAAATCTTCAAAGCATATATATATATATATGTATAAAAATGTCTAGAAAGACCATGTGTCTGTCTGTGGTGCAATCCTAGACAAACATCATTTGTGTAGGATTGCATCATGGTTTAGATGTAGATGAATTATCTTTTGCAAACTGACTCCATGCTCAGTGAAAGGAATTCTGTTTTGGATTGCTCTGTGTGTATTGTTTGTTGGTATGCAATCAGCAAGTACATTTCCATTATAAATTTCAATTTTTCATTTTCTGCCCATGATTTAGCATCACTGTAGGAACTGTGGGGAGATCTTCTGCAATGCCTGTTCTGACAATGAGCTGCCTCTGCCCTCTTCACCAAAGCCTGTCCGTGTCTGTGACTCCTGCCATGCAATCCTTATACAGAGGTGCTCTTCTAACGTGCCATAAGGTGTTTATTCATTCTGGTGGTTAGCTCATCCTGTACAAACCACACCACCAACTCCAGAATGTACAGCAGTTAATTCCAGGTTGATTGCAGGTAAGCAGTGTAGAGTTGCAGTTTCAAGGCTCTGTGGAAGAGTTACTTCTCTGCTTCCTCTTGAAACAAATGGAGACGATGGGACCCAAATGGAGAAAATACACATTGGAAAAAAACCCAGATGGGTACATTGGCAGCTTTTTTGGGAGGCAGCAGGGCAGTTTATACAGGACATTCAGTATTAAAGTGTATTGGATGACTATTTTAGTTGTTAAGATGATTTGGAGAAGGGCCATACTCTTGAGGATGATGTGCCACAAATCCAACCTAATTGTGCCACAGAGTGTGCCTGTGCTAGGCTGATGTGAAGTAAAACCATGCAGTAGCTGGTTTTAAATGGTACTGGAAAGAAGTGTGGCAATTAATGCAGTGGTGTGAGAAGTTATTGCCAAATACCAGGTATTCCTTGGTTTGATACATCCCAGAATATTGCACTGGCAGCTGTTCTGTGCAGTCCCAGCTGTAAGGGGAGCTTTGGTCAGCCAGGGAACAAACAGTGCCTCGGGGCACCTGCTGAAGGAAGGTGTGTTTTGCCGAGTGATTTTTTCACATGAACTATTAATTTGATATATCTGTGTTTCCACTGGAAGAGCTGTTCAGCACAGAACTCTTGTCTGACATTGTCTGTCACCTTGAACAAGTCTCTGCATTATTTTCATGCCAGTCATGCTCTCAAGCCTGTACGTGTAGTCACTGCATAGCTCTAGAAAGGCTGGGATTAAATCCTGGGGATCACATCCTTTCTGTTCAGGACAGGGAAGTTCTTCCTTATTTTGTCACCATCTTTCTACAGCTTTCAGAGTGGGTTCCTAAACTTCCATTTTTTTTTTGCAGAGCACTTTTGAACCCTTCTGAGTCTAACCACTCTTGTCACTGATGGTAACTTTTGCTGGGATGTAAAATCCTTGTTCTTTCCATAGGCAAATAGAAATAAATAATAAATTTATCCTTTGATAAATTGCACTCACTTCCACCTCACTGCACTGCTTGCACCTTGTTTAGCTTGGCTTTGTCTCTGAGGATAGGGATTTTGTGAATATCCTAAAAGTTAACATAGCTATTCTTTTTAACACCTCAATGTAGTTGCTTATGTAGCTTTTGTAAAGGAAAATGTTCTAAAAATGACCTGATGTAACTTTTGTAAAATACCACATAAATACTTGTAAATCTGTAAATAATTTTTGGAAAAAAAATAAATTTAAGTTATCTGAGAATAACATCAATTAATTTAAATTTGTAACTCAGAGTATTTTGTTTTGACTTGTTTGAGTTGCTTAGAAAGCCTTTGTCTGTGCTGGGGAGTGGGATACCCTGTGAAGACACAATCAGGTGTTTCCAGATGGGCTTTATGTGGGGCAGGCATGGAGGCAGCAGGATAGAGATAATAGGATAAAGCTCATCTGCACTACTTTAATAAGTAACTTGTAAAAAGGGATGCAACTAAATAGAAATAATTTATAATAGGCAATCTTTTCAAATAAGAATATAGTGCATTTCCATAATAGTATAGTGCATATAGTGCAATAAATTGTGACTTAACTGCCATCTTTTCCTCCCCTCTGTGCTGTCCTATTTGCATAGGAAAAGTGTATAATTATTCAGATTGCTCTTACTGACTGCAGGTAAGACTTGTGCCTTGAACAAAATGAATGCCGGATGTTTCCTTTCCCTTGGCATCAAACTACATACCTGGCCTGCTTTTACGGTTTTTGGACACCAGCGTGACAGATGCTGTAGTGAAACCCTGCTCTCGATTCTAAATCCTTCTCACAGAGCACAGCAAGAGCTGTGGGGTAGCCACGCGAACCTGGAACCGACAGGATGAGAGCAGCGTTTTGTTCCTCGGGGGAGCTGAAGCGCCTTGTGCCCTCCTGCTCCGGGGGCAGAGCGAGCCCGCAGCGCCAATCCGCTCCTGGTGTTGCTGCTCCTCCCGGCCCAGCAGCGCTCGCTCCGCCCAGCCCTTCCTGCGCTCTCAGCGGCTGCAGCCACGCCTGGGAAAATATTCCCTCCTTTCTGCGGAGCAACACCGGCTCAGCCGGGTAGGAACTCATTTCCCCTCCCCTTCCTGTGCTAATTACCCTTCTCAGCTCTTCCACTCCCTTTGACACCCAAACACATTCTCTAGTGAAATAAACTCCATTCTCCTCTCTCCCACAACAAGACATTTATTACATATATAACACAGTACTAGCAAAACAGGTGACAGACTTGCAATACCCAAGATCACATTTGACATTTTAAGGGAGGCATTGAGGACAAAGCAGTTAATTTGGGAGATCACACTGGCTCAGAAGAATAAATACCTTTTTCCATTACACATCAGGTATGTTAAGTGTCTTCAAACAATAAGTTTCTTACATATCTTACATGTCACAAATGCACAAAAAGTTTTATCAATGTGTTTGGGTTGTGTGTTACTGAGAAAGTATTGGGCCTATAGATACTTTAGAAATCTTGGCTTCGAATGAGCTCCTATATAGAATGGCTTGGCAAACTCTGAACAAATACAGACAAATCAGCTCTCTGCAGTGAAAAAAAAAAAAAAGCTGAACCATGTTTAAATACAATAAATTCAAGAAAGAAAAGAAATATCTTGCTTCCAAATCCTCCACTCTTCCTAAAAGCGTGTCTGTGAAAAAATAACTAAGTAGAAAGCATCAAATGAACAGCATTTGACCTATGTTGTGTTAGCTAAAAGCTGTGCTAGTGTTTCAGTGAGAACTGCAGGTTACAGGTGTGAAATGCAGGCCCTAGAGCGCTACAGCAAAGCGTGGAAATAAACGTGGCCGCTCCGTGTTGTGGAGGCAGGACAGGGGTGCATTTGCTGGGGGTGCTGGCAGCAGCAGCAGCAGAAGCCAGGACAATGACTGAGCCCCCACAGCTTTATGCTGTGCTGCAGTTATTACATACAACTTATCAAAAGGGTTTAGGAAAGCCATTACCAAATAAACTAACCTATTCATCTACCCATCTCCCCTTAAACAGGTGAATGTTTAAATTTGTTCACTAGACCAAGATTACACAGAACTGAATCAGTGTTCATAGGAGTTACAGTACAACCACCTTTATGGAACCATAGTACAACATTTTAAACCGACTGTAGTCTTGAATATGTAATACATCCTTAGGAGTAACTAGTATAAAAAGTATCAACATCAGTGGTTTGAATATAAAAATTTATTTAAAGTCAGAGTATGCAACAAATAAAACCTACAGAAAACAGATTTTCCCATCACAATCTGTTGCTTACCAAATAATATTGTGAAAACACATTCCTTCAGTCATTATAAAGTTCTTAAAATACAAAAGAAATTAAATTTTGTAAGAAAGTCTAGTAGACCAGAGACTGTTTCTTCCAGGTGTTTTGCAGAAACAAGGCTATCCTTCAATACATCCCACGCCATCCTCCTCCACCCATACTGCCTTGCCCATAGTATCCTCCACTATTTCCACTGCCACGACCTGCAAACAATTGACACAAGGTCACGCATACATACCTTAAAAAGAGAAAAAATGGGATGGGTAATACAGAGCAACTGGGTGAAGGTGACAACTTACACTAACAATACTCCAGCACTACTGCTCTTAACCAGCGTTTGCTGCAGTAGCACAGGGTGTAAAGCCCCCAGAGATTGTTTCCAAAAACCCCTGCCCCTCTTTCCCTTCTCCAGCCCAAGGCCCAGCACCCTCGCCCCCTCTCTGTCAGGAGACAGACAACGACACTTCCCCCTGACCATTTAAAGGGAACCTGCACTTACTGTATCCGCCCAAGCCATCAGGAGTTCCGTATCCGCCGCTGTAATTGCTACCCATTCCCATCCTGCCAACAGAGCCGTAACCTTGATCTGCAAAGCCAAAAGTGCCACTTACAATCTTGGAACTCCTTAGACCTGGCAAAGCATCAGCTAAATGAGCAATTGATGCATACCCATTCCATCTCTGCCGTAGCCTCCCATTCCAGAGCCGCCTCCAGCAGTGGAATTCAGGAATAGTTCAATATATCGATGCTCTGTAAGAAGTGAAGAAGCCTCAGTTTGTACTTTGTTTCCCAGACCAGAAGCAGAGACACCAAGGAAAGCCCCCCCTTTACAGGTAGCAGACAGAAGGCCACAAATGAGGGACTCTGCAATGTGGCCAACTGGGAAAACCTTAGGATGGATCTGCTGCTCACAGCCCTGCTAGAGCCTGGCCAAGCAGCAGCGTCAGGGAACACGACACTCACGCATGTGATTCTTATCCTTGGACATGGCAGCTACAGCATCCTCATGTGTTACAAATTCCACATCTGCCTCTCCTGTAGCTCTGCCATCTGCTCCAATGTCAATGTGAACTCTTATAGGGTTCAGTGGCGAGAAAAACTAGGGGAAAAAACAAATTAAAAAACAAATCACGTTAATGCAGAATTCAAGCCAAGTACTTTTTCTCCATTCCCATGGTTAGTGGTACACTGCTTTAATTCAATGTCATCCTACCACGTAAATTTAACTACTCATTTCTCAAGTAGTACTTAGTGGTTGTGGGACACTCAACATCAGGTCAATCTACGTTTACAACCCATTGTTACTACACAGCTTGGAGAGCTGCAGCTACGGAGCCCGAGGAGCTTTCTCTGAAAGCAAAGATGCAAACAACTCCTGCCCACACACACTGCAACAGTCAAATGTGATGCATCCTGGACAAGAAAATCATCAGTTTTCATTTGGCTCTGCTTCTTCAGATTTCTCAAAGCAACGACACGGTCGTGGAACTCAAGAAAAGCTGCCTGTCAATCACACTGCTCTTCCTCCCTGCTCCAGATCAAAGCCTGACTTTTGGCCCTCGTTGTCACAGTCTTTACCCTAAATGAAACAATCGAACTGACACAAGAAAATACAGCTCCATTTAAGTAAACCAACCCACCCACAAAAGCAAACAAGCACAAGCTGAAGAATGGAGCTCTGCATATATAATGCCCAGATGCAAGTGGCAGGACGACCTCTCCCCAAGATGTGCTGTTTAAACCAGGCCTCGAATCCTAAGAAAGCTTTTTCCCTGACAGCAACACAAGAACGCATTCCCAAAATCCTGCCCATGTGCTTCTATCTGCCGCCCTGATCCCTTACAAGAGGCAAACAGTCCTCTCCAAGCCAACACAGCTCTCTACAGCCACCCTGCCCCTCCTGAAATAAGTCTCAAATCAACACATACGCAAACGAAGCAATTTAAGTATCAAATCTTGTCATTTTCACAAAATCAGGTAAGCTTAAACAAATCCTAAATGCCATAAAACAGCAACTGTTGTCTCTGCAGTACACCTCTCATGGAAAGGAAAGAGCAGAGAGTGCAAGGATTAATGACAAATATAGCTTTGCTGACTTCTCTGGTAATCCCACCTCAGACAGCAGCTTTACACAAGCTCGTTAACTTTGTGCAGATGTAGCAGTGACTTGCTTGAGAAGGCTCCCCAGTTTGGGAGGGACAGACAGGGACATGCTGGCAGGAGGAAGCCCTTTCCCCCGTGGTACTTACGTTAGCAATATCGTTTTCCGTGGCTCGGAAAGGCAGCCCTCTCATGTGAACAAAATGACCGCCACCATGGAACCCCGACCCTGCATCTCCAGCTCCATAGCCATGTCCTCCCATGCCTATTGGAAAACCCAAACCAAAAAAACCCACACACCTCTAAGATCATGAAAAGCCAAAAGTCATCACTACTCTTTTTTCTGAAAGCACTGAATTATACCAGTGAATGCACGGTGTTTGCACTTCCCGTGTATCAACCCAAACTTTAACCAGAAGCCCTCCTAAGCAATCTATTTTCCTTTGCTTACAATTCCCCAATCCCCTCCCCTTTTTAAACAGCCTTCTCCTTTACCAAACAGCAGAATGAAGCCACTGTCTCTGCCCTGGAAATACTGTGTCTTGCAACTCAAGTAACAGGAAAACCTTTTTGGACAAACTATTAATTTATTTTACCTCTCCCATCCCTCATTCTGTCGTCATAGCCGTCGTTTCCATAGCCATAGTTATTATAGCCACCATAATCATCAAAGCCACCATATCCTGTGCAATGGAGAGAAGGAAAGGAGCCATTACATTACTGCTCAGAAGCCACAGAGCAATGCACACACAACACTCAATTTTGTAGTCTTTGGGCACCCAGAACTCTGCAAACAGCCTCTGCAGGCTGGCAAACCTGGACTCCTGAACATGGTGCAAAAGTACATTTATTTTTATGTAACACAGACTGAAACATGCAAACGGAAAGATTCGATTCTAATGAAAATAGCTCCCTTATTATTAATGTTCATCTTAAGGACTAAACCACGTATTTTGACATACTTCAAGTTTTTTCAGGTAAGCACATCCAACCTAATGGGCATTACAGCTACTGCCATTTCTTATTTCTTGACAAGTATGTCAGAAACATGAAACTGCCAAGAGAACCTGTGTTCATTAGATGAACATACCACCGTCATATCCACCACCTCCTCGACGCATTCTGTCATACATACTTCCACGCCCAGCTCCATAATAACCCCCTCTTCCTCCTAATGGTCTATCATATGGTCCAGGTCGCTGTTGTCCCATCATTCTTCTTGGCATGTCAGAGAATCCTCTGATTTCGCTCTTACTACTTTTGAAGATTTCAATGTATCTGATAAAAGAGCATTTTCAAGGTACTAGTAAGAACACAGGCAGAAGCAGTCTGAAGTTTACAAAAGGCCGTACTACATTTTCTACTGCTAAACGTACAAGCCAATAGCAGTGACTAGAAATACCATACAACTTAAGCTTCTCCTCAAAACCGTAAGAATCTTAAGTGTATTAAAAAAAACCCCACTTTACAGTGGCAAAAATTACCATGTGAAAATTCTAGCTGTACAAATTAAGCTTAAAACATGTCTTTCCAGTATGAGAAACATACTGTTGAAAAACAATGTCTGGCTATAGCAGCATTTATCACAAATTACCCTACACGAGCACGATTGAAACAGTTTTCTGAGTTTAGCAAACTACCCAGTGCAATGCTGTCTCCCCCACCCCCCAAATCTACTGTATTTCCCAAGTTAACTTAGGATCAGTTATAAAAATTCTTAAAAACAGCCAATTACCCAATGGTCCCCAACCCCCCAAAAGCATTACTGACCCACAACCCCCAAAAAATAAAGATTTAACACCATCCCAAACTCTCCATCCCCACCTGTGCCCTATTCTTTCCTTGTGTTTCCCCAGAGCATTTTCTGCTATCTCCTTTGAAGCAAACTGCACGAAGGCCTCCCCTGTGCTTCTCCCCTGGTAGTCCAGCGTCAATGTTATCCCATTTGGCACGATTTCCAACCCTTTAACCCAAGGACAAATAACCCCGTCAAGGGGAACAGTGTTAAAGGCTGAAACATTCCCATCTGTAGCAAATACTTAAAGCATATCTAAACAACAACAACGAAAAAGAAAACCACCTCGTTTTCCCCCATCACCCAACAATACAAGCCCATGATCTTTCATTAAACATTTATGGATTTAGCCGTACTTCTTTTCCCTTTACACTATACAAAAATGCAACCACCTAAGTTACATGAAGAAAATATAGCTACCAATCAAGGAATTTAACTGATCCAAATGCTAACATTCAGGTCACCCCAATATGCCCGGTATTGTTTCCCACCTCGACAAAATCAGACACATTTCGTGTTCTACTGCATCTACGGTTAGCTGTGATTTACAGGGTATAAATCTTACTTAAGACAAACTAGTTTAACACAATCCCTCCCCATCCACCCCATTAACAGTTATTAAACACGTACAAAACACTGCGTAAAGATACAAAGAGCCTCTAGAGAAACCCACTACACTTCGACTATACTGGCGGTACCTTGGAAGAACTGAACAATCTCTTCTTTGCTGCAGCCAAATGGCAGGCCTCGGAGTCGTACCACTGTTCCGTCATTGGTTGTATCATTGGGCCCATTGTGTTTTTGAGTCCAGTCCATCTTTTATTTTATTTAAATCCTAAAACATCGCAACAAAACAGAAATAAAAAAACCCCTCAGTTTCCGTCCATGCCGAAGTCCCTCCCTTGAAAAGAAATCTGTTAGGTTCTGTTTATTTAGATAACTAGCGTGATGGATCGTGAGCTTTATTTCTGTTCCCGATTTGAAACTGGGCATACAAAGCCATCCCTGAGGGGATATAATCCCCCCTACCAAGGGGATGTAACCCCACCATTGGGGCTGCTGCCGGGGAGCACCGCGGGCAGCACGTGGGCAGGCACGGCACATAAAGCTCGGCTTTTACTCCGACTACATTTCACATCCGCTCCGTAAAGCTCCGCGGGTTTTGTTTTCTCGGCTGTTTCTTTCCTTGCAGCGTGACACTTGAGGAAGGGGCTGGAACCACAAGGCCTTCCTTTGTCTGCCCTCAGCCGGGGGCGGGGGGGGGTGTGCGTGTGACGAGGCCGTGTGAGGGGGGACACCGCCACCGTCCCACAAAGGCAGCCGCCATCGCCGCCTGCCCGGGCGCGGAGCCATCGCGATCCCGCCTCCCGCCGTCCTCCCGAGAGCGCGGCCCTGACCCCCGCCTGCTCCCCTCCCCGCCGCCATTTACCGCGCCTCACCGGGGTGCCCACCACTCGCCCGCCCCGCTCCCGCCGCGCCCCGCCCCGCGTCCCGCTGCCCACCTCCGGCCTCGGAGGTGCTGGCGCTGCGCCGCCCGG